CCCGCTGCCACCCCCGGCCCCGTCCTCTCCCTGTCCCATCCCGCTGCTTCCCGGTCCCGCGCCGGTGACCCTCCACCTGCCTCCGGGTCCCATCCCGGTGCTGCTCGGTCCCATCCCGCTGATCCCCTGTATCCCCCCTCCTGCATCCCACCCCATCCCAACGCTGCCCCTGTCCCATCCCAGAGCAAGCTGTGCCCACCCTGGAGTTTTTCCAGCCCCATCCCTGTGACTCCCTGCGTCCCCCCGGACAATCCCATCCCACTCCTTCCCCCATGCCCAGCCTGGTGTTCCCCCAGTCCTGTCCCTGTGCTCCCTCATGCTTCCATCCACCCATCCCAATGCTCCCCCACATCACGCTCCCAGTTCCCATCCCAGTATTCCCCACCATCCCGTCCCAGTTGCTCCCCCATGCTCGGCTCTGAATCCCTGAATCCCTTGGGGCCAGCATGAGGCTGGGGTGTCCTGGCTGGACCCTGGAAGGGGGCTGGGATGCTTTTGACACTTCTTGAGTGGGGCACTGCGCATGGATGCCCAAATACCTGTGTTTCACCACCCTTGGCAGCGCCAGGGCTGGGGGCTGGGGGGGGGGGGGGCAGAGCCAGTACCCATTCAGCAGGCGCCCGAGCGTCCCCATGTTAGCTCCGAAGTGCGTGGGAAGCGGGCAAAGTGGGCAGCTGCCTGCTCAGGGCTGGCAGGAGATAAGCATGGGTAAGGCTGAGCGTCAGCCGGGCTTGGCGATACCCCCTGGCAGAGAGTGCCAGCCCTGGCGTTTTGGGGGAGCCTTCCCCTCCGCTGGGAGCAGTTTGGGTTTGGCCCTTTGGCAGGGCTGGTGACAGTGCTCGGCGAAACCTGCCAAACCTGTGCTGGCAGGAGGAAATCAAAGGTGACCGACCTGTTTTGGGGCTGGGGTGCCCATCAGGCCAGGCAATGCCCTGAGGGGTTGCTCGCTTGCAATTCGGGCTTTCCTGGGGAAGCGCAGGGGGTGTTATGGCAAAATAAGCTGGTGCTTGGGATGCTTTCCCGGGTTATCTCTGGCTGCTGGGGAAAGGAGCTAGCAGAGCCAGGCTCTCTGTGCATCAAAGGGCTGAGGTTGCTTTGCACCCACAGCTCTTGGGTGCTGCGATCTGGATGTCGGGGGGCATGGCCCCCCGAGCTGGCGGTGCCACCGGGGCAGACCTCGCCAAGGGGCTGCCAGCCCGGAGGATGCCAAAGCTCTGCATCTGGTTGCAATAAGGGTGGGGATCTCATCTTGGTGGGGATCGTTCCATGCCGAGCTGCGAACTCGGTCACCAGGGGTGAAGTCAGCCTCCCGCCCTGCACCGCCACGCGCCCCCGCCACCCGCAGCTGGTTCCTGGGGGGGGGGCAGCCACCCCGTGGCTCATCCCCTGGCTCCTGCCCGGCAGCTCCCACTGCACCGCCTGGGCTGGACTGGGCGGTGGGATGAATCCCCACCCCGCTGGGCTCTTTCAGCCAGGGAGGGGATGCTCGCTGGTGGGGAAGCCCTGGTGGAGGCTCAGCCCCAGCCTCGTTGCAGCTCTGTTTCCCAAAGCACGTTGTTAGCGCAGCGGTGGCTATATATAGCCAGGAGGGACGCGTGTGCTGGGAACGTCTCTGCCGTGGGGTGGCGGGGGGGGGGG